TTTATTCATTTTAGATATATTTATACATTCACACCAATGGTGGATTCATACTAAATTAACAATATATTGTATTATACTAATATAAAAAGCTTGGAAAAAATATTTATGCTTGCTTTACACCAATATGTTTTTTAAAATATTATATCTTTTTTTATGATTAAGTTGTCCAGTTGAAAAAAATGGTGAAGAACATACAGGTTTTGTAATATGTTTACTGACTAGGTGTTTATTAATTCTAAGCATCTTCAAATACTTTTTTTAAGACTATATATGTTTATACCATAGTAGTATTAGGGGGTAAAACCCATTAACTTTGTGAACTGCATAGAATTTAAAAGGCTATTGTCCTTGGTAACCCTTCATAAAAATGCTTGATTTGAATTTTTTTTCTCTTCCGACTTGGGAGACAGTGAAATTGGCATGGGAAGAATGTATTGTGGGATGCCTCAGAAAGTTTTATCAGTGGTGCTACTTTTTCTGATTTTAGTTTTCCTGTTTTTGGTTTAATGTTTCTACATATTGTTTCTATCCTTGGGTAATGAGCCACCCAGAGTTGGGTTTAAGATGGGTGGCCATATACTTGTTTTAGGTAAATAAATACAAGCAAGAAAGGACAGACTGCAAGGCAAGTAGCAATTATTCTAGCAAGATCCTTAGCTTTTATGTTGCATCCCTGTGTCTAAAGGAAGCTTTGATATGTAAGTCAGCTGTCCTCTGATTCTGCTAATTTATTCAAAGATAAAAATAAGAAAGTCACTCAGGCTGTCATATGTTTAGGAAATTAAAAAGCATCACTGTTAACAATAGCACCAAAGGGTATTTGGTATCCATGCCTTTGGTAAGATATTGCCTATGTGTTGTAAGTTCTTTCTTCCAAACAAGTCCTTTTCCAAAATAACAGCCTTTATTTCTTTATCAAAGTGACTGCAAACCATTATTCAGTTAGCCCATACTCCTTAAAATGTGGTGCAATTCCTTGGAGTCTGATGTAACCTGTATAAGATTTGTGTTGATCTGCCATTGGGATCCTGTGTTTTGTTGCTAGGAATCCAGTAATCATTGTATTTATTTTCTAACTTAATAAAGAAGCCAGTTTCTGACATCTCCAATTGCTTTGTCTCAATCCTGTGAGATTTTTCCACTACAAAACTAAATCAAGAATTTAGGATAATGGGTTTTAGTCTGGCAATGTATGAGAAGATGTATGACTTAGATGTATGATTTAGTTGATTGGCAGGTACCTTGATTAATTTTTCTTTCCTTAGATTTTGCTTATCTTTGGTAACCTTGACATCTGTCTACAGTTTAATTATTTTGAGATTATTCTACCATAAACTATATACTTGTGAGCCTTTCAGTAGATTCATTTTGAATCGATTTCCAGATAGATAATAAATATATCTACTCGATAAATGCTTGCTTCTTAACTATTTTATAATATACAGTTTCTTCTAGTAGAAACACATTAACAGATCCCAATGTTATTAATAAAATGTAGTAATAAACCTTGCATTAAGATTTGCATTAAATGATCGCTGCCTGTTCATAGAAGTATTAAGTTCAGCAAGATAGCACACAAAGTCAGCACACCCAGTTACAGACCATTTCCTTGAAAGAGAGGAACCTTGTATAGTTATTAGCCTACCATTAAGAAAATTATGCAGGGTGATCATTTCCACATTCTTCTCTAAAAGTGGTCTGGAGAATGCTACTTCTTTCTTCTTGCCAAAAAACTGAATAAGTGCAGCAATTTAAAGACAACTATGTATATAAGTATGGGAGATTGTGTAATTTGTACTCTGACACACATCATTTCTTTTTACCTCTCTCTGTTTCTTTCTGTTCTTGAGATGCAATGTTCTTCATAGTCATAAATTTTCAGCAAATTTCTATTAACAAGAGGAAGGGATGTGTGGAAGTATACTATTAAATGTTATTTATTACTTCATTGTTATTATTATAAGTGATTTGTATGGCCACTCAATTCATAAAAATCAACTCTGGAGGGTTAATGAAGAATTTTAAAGAAAACTATATATATATATATATATATATATATATATATATATATATATATATATATATACATACATACACACACACACACACACACATGTATATATACATATATATATCAATTTTCTTACTTCTTATATATATATAATATATAAGCACCACAACATCCCATTGCTTGCTGGAAAATTCTGGGGCTTTATGTCAACACATTTTAAAGTGTCAAGTAGCCAGATTACCCATTATATAGGAGCCTCAAAATGCTTGTTTATTTTTAGAAAATAAGCCAGGAACAAGCTTATATGCTATGTAAGTAAGTCCCAGAGACATGGCTAAATTATTGTTATATACTAAGATATACTAAAATTAGTTCTGTTGAATAAGTTTGCAATCTGTGTATAAAATATGAGCTAATAATAACACTGGATATTACTATTTATTCTGTAGTATTTTAATTGTGCTTCAAGTTGATATTATTCAGAGTCAAATTCTCAGAATCAAATGTTAGCATATGCAGATGGAATTTGTCTGAATCGAAGACCTAGTATCAAGCAAAATAGATATTTAGGAAGATGAGGCGCTAAAGGAAGATATGAAATTAGGGGGGAAATGTCTCCTCCCTCTTCCACTTTTAAAATCCTAAAGCCAATATTCTGCAGGATTCAATATGGGTCAGTAGCCAGGACCAGAGGTTTAGTCTTCCGAGCATTCGGACTTGTGCTGGAGCCCATTTTCAAGGAACTTCTCTCTCACCACATTCTGGTGAGGGAGAAGTTCCCTGAGAATGGGCTCTAGCAGAACTCAGAATGTTCAGAAAACTAAAGCTATGGTCCTGGTGATCGACCCAGATTGGATCCTGCAACATTAACCTAGGGCAGTGATGGCTAACCTTTTTGCCATCACGTGCCAGGAGCGGGGGGCAGGGAGTATCGCACGCACATGTGCCCACACCCATAATTCTATGCGCCCACCAGAAGTTGGCAGATGGGCTGTTTCCAGCCTTTGGAGGGCCTCCAGGGGGGGAGAGGCTATTTTTGCCTCCTCAGACTCCTAGAAAGGCTCTGGAGGCTAGGGACAGCAAAAAACAGGCCTTCCGGTCCCACCGGAGGTTGGCAAATGGGCCATTTTCGACCTCCAGAGGGCCTTCGTGAGGGTCGGGAAGGCCGTTTTCGACCTCCCCAGACTCCTAGAAAGGCTCTGGAGCCTGGAGACAGCAAAAAACAGGCCTTCCCCACCACCCCCAAGGCCCTCCGGAGGCAGGAAACAGCCTGTTTACCTACTTCTGAGCTGAGCTCATGTGCCCACTGATATGGCTACGTGTGCCACCTTTGGCATGCGTGCCATAGGTTCACCATCACGGATCTAGGGCATGTATGTATTTGCCTTCATTCGTGAGCCAATATTCTTTTCTTCAGTGAGTGCTATTTAATCATTTGTTAGATCATCTATAAAAATCTGACTTTAGTCTATCACCTATATTGTTAATTTTGGTTTGATTTGCAGGACTATTTCCTTTTTTGAAAGATACAAGAATTTTACTCCTACTTTCACATCAGCATTTTATATATAAGTATAAATACCTAAAGACTAAAGGGTAGGTTAACTCCCAAAGAAATTGTAATATGAGCTAAGTAAGAATGAAAATTAAATACCTCTTAACTGCTTTTTTTCCCCCTATAATAGAGTGATGCTTGAATGCTGATCTGAGAAATGCTACGGTATTTCACCATAAGAGCAACTGTGAGTTGTCTGAGCAAATGGGGGAAATTAATACCGTAGCTTCAGTCATTGGAATATGATTGACAGTATATGATATGAAATAATAGTCTTTCAAAGGGCATGTATTTTAGATCCTCAAAGGAATTGCAAAGTTACTGCATTTCAGGTCAAGATCTTCAAGTAGCACAATTATCAAGAAGTGCCAAAAATGTTTCCAAGGTTTTTAAAAATGTGCTAATTTAAATAAGAAATTGGTTGCCATTTTTATTTTCTGGGGATCTTGTATAATGGATTTTATTTTAAAAAGTGCTCTAAGTGTAATGATGGCCAATTTTGGCAGGCATCTCTCTCATTTCAAAAACAGCCACATTTCAAAGAAATACTCATTTGAATTTGTTTTTTTTTTTAAGTTGTATATTGAATTGTTTTGAATTTGAGTATGCTACATCAGTCAGTAAGTAGAAAAAAATATGTTGTGACATGAAAAACAGTTCAGCGCTCCTAATTTGAAAGTTAGTTCTGCTAAATTAGTTGGATTTCATTCCAAACAAATTATTTAAGGACAATTAGTTTTCTGTTTGTTAAAAAAAATAAGTACTGCTGGATGGTGCTTTCTTCATATATGATTTTTGGGGGGTCTTGTTTAGTATTTTTAAAAGACTATAAAATATCTCTTTATTGAGAAACATGAAATCATTTGATTTGCTCAACCTCTGTGGTACTACATACAGTTTGTGTTACTTCAAGCAAAATGTTGTTGTTTTTATTATTCAGAATATGTTTTCCTGGATCAAAATTGTAAAATGAGTTTTATCTGTGAAGCAGAGACATTTTTAACCTGTGTTTGATTAAATACAAAGTCGATATTTGCAGTAAAGGACAACAGTAAGATCCACTTTATAAGCTGCACTTAGTAATCCACTTAACCAGGTTACCCCACCAAACCAACTCAGCATAGTTGGATTTGGCTAGTACTTGGATAGTAGCTCATCAGAGCTGTAGGATTTCTTGCTAAGAAGACTACAAAGACATATCCCTAAAGTTATTAGGAATCAAGTTTGACTCAAGAGGCTATTTCTCTTTAAAAAAAAAAAATACCCAATCCAACCACCTTTGCAAAATTCAGGCAGGTTTTCATGCACATTCTTTTGGAGACCCTAAGTTGGCCCTTACACGTTGCAATGCCAAGACTGTTGACTCTTTCATTTGATATTTGTCTACCAAATATAATTCATATACAAGCTGTTTTCTTTTTCCCCCTTTTATAGAAATTATTGAGCCTACCACTACTAGTCGTGTCTCAAGCTCAGGTCAGTATCCCAGTACATCCCCACCCCCCCAAAAGTATGCTTTGGCACCCTTTTTTCCCCCTTTTTGAGGAATGACAATATATATGCTGTCATATCAATCTACATCCCCTTGACGCTGAACAGTATTATTTCTGATACTGCTGAGCTGTTCCTTTTCTGCTTGTGTAGTCACAGTTTGTGTTGCTCTTTGGGCAAATGCTAGTCTGCCTTCATAGATTTTTTTTTTTTTACTATTAAAGTGCTTCTCTCTTTCTGTGTGTCCTAAAGATCACCTAGCAGATGCATAGTGTTGGCACCGTTGTGAAGCGTCTTTGCTTTTCTACTCCCTTTGTGATATTATCTGTGTTAAATTGATTATTGGCTGTTCTGCTGTAAGCAAGATATTTTTATAGGCTTTTGCTTTGTTTCTTTCCTTTCAGCTCTTTTTTGTGAATATTATGTGCAACATTTATTGCTAAATGTTGAATGTATTCATCGGCTTAATACTATATTAATGACAGGAGGGATATTTGGCAGAGAAACAGTTTTCACTGTAGAAACCTAAAGTGGGGAAAACATGACAATTCAAGAAATTGGGACTGATTTACAAAGCCAAACCTGAAAAACACACAAAATGTCTGTACTTTGGTTTTGACTTGATAGGAAGCTAGAATAATCCCTTGATCCCTGTTACTCCTTTTCATTACAGCCAGCCATAATTTCAGTGGAATAACAAGAGTTTAGGTTCAGGAAAAATAAATTATTAAATTAGGGAAAACAGGTAATATGGGAGGCACCATAGTGTAGCAATTAAGGTACTGGACTTGGATGAGGAAAGCTTTCTAGTCAGTGTGAAAGTTACTGAGTATCAGGACCAGGCACTTGGTCTTAGTATAAGCTATACACTAAGAGTGAGTTAGGGTTGGGCGCAGTGGTTAGAATGCAGTACTGCAGGCTAGTTCTGCTGACTGCCATTTGGCAATTCAATTCTCACCAGGGTCAAGGTTGACTCAGCCTTCCATCTTTCGGAGGTGGGTAAAATGAGGACCCAGCTTCTTGGAGGCAATAGGCTGACTCTGTAAACCGCTCGGAGAGGGCTGTAAAGCACTATAAAGTGGTATATAAGTCTAAGTGTTATTTGTTGTTTGTTTGTATTAAAAAAAATGTTTTAAAAAAAGTCTAAGTGCTATTGCTGTATTATGTGCTCCTTATTGTGAAAATAAAATTAGGTGAGACACACAAACACACTCCTTATTTTAAGCCCCCTCAGGGAGAGAACAGAATATAAATGTAATAAATGTGCATGCATCATTTTATTAACTATTTGAGGAATGTCATGTTTCCTCATCTGGGCAAATTTATAATTGTGAAATCAGGTCCCACATAATATATTTCATTTTAGACTGTAATACTAGTAATGGCCACAAGTCTGCTGCAGGCTGAGTGTCTATAACTATCCTCGGAGCTGATGCAAGAATTATTAATGCAAGAATTTTGTCTTGCAGATTTGGAATATGATATTTAGTCTATTGATATTGTCTCTTTTTAGTAATGTATCTTTTGAGCTGTGAAGACAGAGGTTCCTGCTGTTGTTGTTCTTGTTCTTCTTCTTCTTCTTCTTGTTCTCTGTTTTATTCATTAAACATGAAACTTAGTCAACTGAACATTTAAAAATATGCCACAAATAGGATTGACTGATACTAATGGTTGATACGGGTTGCTGTCAGCATCCTAGTATCTTCTTAAAATATACGATGTTCCAAGTAGCACACTTTTTTGCAGTTCCGCTGGTGTTATTGGAGGAAGCTGCAATTTCTTGATGTGTTTTGTAAAATTCTTGAACATGGTACCAAGTGCCCCGATGACAATAGGTATCACTGTTAAATGTTTCATCCATAACTGTGTAGTTTCAATGGCCAGGTCGCGATATTTCATGATTTTTTCCAGTTTTTTTTCTTCAACTCTGGCGTCACCTGGTACAGCGATATCAATAAATTGTACGCTTCGGCCCTCGACAACTGTGATATTTCGCATGTTATGTTCCAAATGATGATATGTCTGTATTTGAAAGTCCCACAAGATCTTCACCATCTCAGTTTCAACAACTTTTTCCACTTTATGTTCCCATGACTTTTTGGATACAGGTAGGGCATATTTTTTACATAATGACCAGTGGATTAATTTAGCAACTCGATCATGTATATTATAATTATTATAATTATTATTATTATTATTATTATTATTATTATTATTATTATTATTATATGATGCAGCTATGTAGCGACCAAATCTTGACATGTAGGGAACACACTACAGGTAGTCCTCGAGTTACAACTACAAGTGAGCCCAAAATTTCTGTTGCTAAGTGAAACATTTGTTAAATGAAATATGCCTCATTTTACGGTCTTTCTTGCCACCATTTTTAAACAAATCACTGCAGTTGTTAAGTTAGTAACATGGTTGTTAAGTGAATCTGGCTTCCCCACTGACTTTGCTTGTCAGAAGGTCGCAAAAGGGGATCACATGACCCTGGGACATTGCAATGGTCATAAATGTGACTCAGTTGTCCAGCATCTGAATGTAAATCACATGACCATGGAGATGCTGCAATGGACATAAGTGTGAAAAATGGTCATCACTCACTTTTTCAAGTGATGTTGTAACTTCGAACAATCACTAAATGAACTATTGTAAGTCGAGGATTACCTCTACATTAGTGGCTAGGATTTGTCTTCTTTTTTTCTTTATTTTTTTTTAAGCTTTCTATCCTGCCTTTTTTTTCATACACAAATCAAGGTGGAGAACATACATATTACTTTTTCTTCCTTCTATTTTCCCCACAACAATCCTGTGAAGTAAGTTGGATTCAGAAAAAGTGACCAAACCAAAGTCACCTTGCTGGTTTCTCACACTGAGGTGGGTCTCAAACTCATAGTCTGCTGGCTTCTAGGCCAGCACCTTCATCGCTACACCAAAATGATATGGGCTCCTTTTTTTCCATAGTGCCATGAATGAAGCAAAAAGGGAAGAACTCACCAAAAGAAATTTCACTAAGGGGAAAATCAGTGCTAGCAGTAGGATATATAGCAGTATATTAATTTCTAGCGTACTATCCTGATCTCTCCATGGGAAATAAAAGATGCAAATATGATTTAAAATATTTCATTATTATTTATTTATTAGATTTATATTAGACCCATTATTTTGTACAACTGAAGGTAACATGAATAATGCTCATTCCTCCTGTTTTCTTCACATAACCCTGAAGTGAGTTGGTAAATGACCCGAAGTCACCTAGATGATGTCCATACCTAAAGGAGAACTAGAACTCCCAAATTTCCAGCTTTTTGGTCTAATATCTGAACTGCTACAGTGAAGCAATTGTAGTCTGTTGTTATTGGAATGTAGGAGATGGCCTAAGTTATGAACTTGCATGGGGCTAGAAAATAATATTTGAATCTTGTTTGCATAGAAATAGTTGATGTAGCACTTGCTAGGACGTACACTACAACTTGTAGTGACTTTCAATTGTATGGTTCATTCACTTTTTTAAAAAAAATAGGAGTGTAATTATTAATCCAGATTTGGCAAAGAACAATGCAGTTTGGATGTTTAACTATCCTGTCATGGGGAATAAGTAATGAATGATGAGGAAGAACAGATTTGAAAATTATATAATATGGGGAGGTTTTTATTTTGATTTATTTGTTCTTTTTCTTAGAATTCTGATCCCAATTTTCATTTTCTGTTGCTAACATTGATAGAGATCATTTCTTCTTGATACTAGTTTATCACACTTTCTCTAACAGCCTCTTGGCAGTAAACATCTCTTGTTTAAAGTCCAACTCTTAAATCTCAGTCAACATCAGAAATACTTAAAGGCAAATTTCTTTAACGTATCCTGAAAAAACAAACATAAGTTCTTGACAATTTGACAGGCAGGTGTTTCTGATGAACACTGCTGCAGTTGATGACAATTCAGAAATACTGGTGCATTAGGACATACGCTTAAACCAACTTCACCTAATGAGGTTTTATCGTGTATTTTAAGTGTTTAGTGAAATTGACTCATGGGCAAGAACCTGAGAAATGAAATGAGAAATGTGGCAAAATATGAATGCTTCCTCTTCAGTTAAGATGGGTTTTGTCAAATAAAATTATAGGGAAACTGATAGGGTAGGAATGAAGAAAGAGATGGAGGAAATGTCAGGTTATTGTATAAGCAGTGGTGAAATCTAATTTTTTTTACTACCGGTTCTGTGGGTGTGGCTTGGTGGGTGTGGTGTTGATAGGGGGCGTGGCTTGGTGGGCATGGCAGGGAAGGATACTGTAAAATCTCCATTCCCACCCCACTCTGGGGCCAGCCAGAAGTGGCATTTGCCGGTTCTCCAAACTACTCAAAATTTCCGCTACCGGTTCTCCAGAACCTGTCAAAACCTGCTGGATTTCACCCCTGTTGTATGACAGATTGATCACAACATATTTGGAGAAGAGTTCGTAACTGATAAAAATATTGGAGAAGCTGGTTTAGTAGTGGAACCTTTGCTTTGCGTGGAAAAAAATCTCGACTTTGCTCAAGCCTGGACCTCACTCTATTCTTCCTTGGCCCAATGAATGTTCAAGTAAAATGAAGGCATTTTTCTAAAAGAGAATTTATGAACTAGATCAGGACCACCACTTAAGATTATTGCTTCAATTGCCAGCTTGTTGAAGAATCAGCGTTATTCTTCTCGGTTTTTCTGCCATCAGCTGTTTTTCATGCTGTGTTAAACCTTTTAAACGCTGCTGCCTTGAACTTTTTGCAATAACATGTGGCCATCTCACAGGATCCTCAAAGAGCACCAATCAACTTAGCTTCTTCTCTAATCCACGATAAATAGAGGTATTGGGAATTAACTTTCAAAAATGTTAACTGCTTAAAGGTATTTCTAGTATCAGTAGCTCAGCTTCTCTCAATATATTAGCAATTTTGTGGAGGTTGGAGGCTTAATGGGATACTTTCATTTCATGTTTCATTTAAA